TTAAAGAAATCAATAAAATACAAGCAAAACAAATTGATTACAAAGGAACCAAAAATAAATATTGTCTGAATATATATCTTAAATGTTTAGATTTTAATTATTATGCAAGTAGAATGTAAAGGAGGTAAGTGACTTTGATTGAAATATTATTGATGAATTAATTAATTAGTTTTTCTTTTTGATTTTAAACAATTGAAAAATCACAATCAAAAATCAGCTTTATTTTATCAAACAAGACTAAAAATAACAATTTATTTACAAGATTATACGATTTGTAGGTGTTGAAAAAAATGGAAAAAATAACCGAATAAATATAATTATCAGCTAGTTTTATAATTAGTTGTTTACAATTAGTGATTATCTATATTAATTTTTACCTAAATCTAAATAAATAAATTCTCCGAGTCAGATTTAATTTTATCGAGGTCAGTAGAAAACAATAGGTAAAAACATAATTAAAAAATATTTTCATTTTATAAGGCAAATTACATATTTATTTATACTAATACTGTATTAGTATGTTTATAATGGTGATATAATAACATTAGTTGCATTGTATCTGTGTGTGTTACACTATTGGTACGTTTTCCTTATGATGAAATTCTTTTATTAGTAAATGCTGGAAAAAAAGCTTATTAATTTTTACCAAATTTGAAAAAACATTTTACTTTTTCGTATATATTTGATTTGAATGGGGCTCAATTAATTTTTATTGGAAGAAAAATGATAAGAGGTGGTGCAACCATCTTCTTTAATACAAGTGAAAAGAAATTATTAATTTTGGTGATAATATTCAACAAATAAAATGTGTTACAAATTGGCAAATTATGCACAAATATAAATAAAAATTTTTTTTATATTAATAATATAATATATTTAAATCATATATATATATATTTAAATCATGTATCTTTTCGTTGAAACAAAATCATATTTTTTCCCAAATATTTTTGAAAAACCTTTTCAAAGCAACAAAATAAAAAACAAAAACTAACCTTTTTCTCTTTCTCTCTTTTTAAACAACTTTTCACAATTCCACAATATCATCATCATCGAGTCATTCTGTTTCTTCATTATACATATTTGAAACAATGGCCATTTTAAACAACATTAACAACAATATTAACAATAATAATAATAGGTTTTTTTAATTTATACCGTTTTTTAAAAAAACACATACGTGCGTGTATATATAGATTAAATGAAACAGAGATGCGACGTCAAGCTCTTTATGCAAAACAAGGAAGAAGCACACAATTCCAAACACGTGCTCATAGAGATGCTTGGTTGCAGAGTGAAATACAAGAGATTGATAAAACAATGGATGCACAGCGACAACAGGTTAGGATCAAATATATATATATATATATATATATATATATATATAAATTATGGATGATGAATTGTATCAAACTCTTTATCTGTCTATACATAAAAAAAAAATTTTTTTTTACGAGTTAATTAGGAAGTAGATCTAGAATCGCAAATAAATGATTTAACAGAAAGTATAAATAGAGTAACGAATGAAATTCAAATAGCCCGAAATAAATTAGAACAAAGAAAACGTATCATTGAAGAAATGAATCGTGGTTATATTGAAAAAAAAGCCGAAAGAGATAGACTTACTGACAAAAGAAAGTATGTACAAAAATAAAAATAAATTTTATTTATGCTTCGGTTTTTTATTTATAATAATAATGAATCTTTTTTTAATAGGGAGCTTTGGAGGGAGGATTCTCAATTAGATACAAAACTTGTTAATGCACGTGATCAATGGAAAACTAATGAAAGGAGTTTGGCTAGTTCTATGGACAAAGTATTTGGTTTGATTTTTTTTAAAAAAAAACTTTTTTTCCCTATAAAAAGAAAAGTGATTTATTGAACAATTAATATTGATAATGAATAATAGAAAACTAATAATGGATTAAATGCCGTGAAACGGATTGCTGAGCAATACCAAATAAAAGGCGTTCACGGACCTCTTTATGAATTATTTGATTGTAATGATTCAGAGTATTGGACAGCTGTTGAAGTCACTGCTGGACAAAGGTATTATTATAATATGATATTTATAGATACACACAGATTATATAAAATTAATAATAAATGTACACTTTAATTTAATGGTAATTTATACTTTAAAAGCTTATTCCATGTAGTTGTTGATAATGATGAAATAGCCACAAAAATTCTTGATTATTTAAATCGCGAACAAAATGGGCGAGTTACATTTGTGCCTTTGAATCGATTAAAATCAAGAAATTTTGAATATCCAAATACAAATGAAATTTTACCTATGATAGATATTCTTAAATATAATGAAAAATACGCTAAATCCATTGAACAGGTTTTTACAACAACAACAACAACAATAATATTTATTTAAATATATAAATAAACAAATAAATATATATGCATTTATTATATTTATTGTGATAATATTATAAAGGTTTTTGGAAGAACAATAATATGTGATAGTTTAGATATCGCTTCTTCAATATCAAGAAGTCATGACTTGAACGGCATAACTTTAGATGGTATATTTTTATCTATAAATTTACTACTACCGTTATTATTATTATAAATAATCATTGAAGATTATCAATTTTAGGTGATCGTGTTGATCGTAAGGGAGCATTAGCAGGTGGTTATCATGATGTGCGTCGAAGAAGATTAGCAGCTTCAGCAAATTTAAAAAAATGGAGAATAGAATATTTAGAATTAGATAAAAGATCTAAAACTGTAAAAAAAGAAATATCTAATATCCTTTTTAAAAACCCCTATCATTGTAAACATGTAGACAAAAACTTTTTTTTGGGTCCTTAACTCTTATTTTTTTTTTTAATTAGTACATTTAGACGAACAAATTAATCAAATATTAAGAGATATGCAATTTATTGAGGCTAAACAAAAACAAGCTCTAGATAGTCGTGATCCTTTACTGTTTGAAATCAATTCAAAGACTAAAGAGGAAGAAAGTTTGAAAATGTCATTAGCTAGCAAGGTTTTTCTTTTCGCCTTCTTTCCATCAAAAAAAAAAAATATTATTATTTAATATAATAATTTTTTTATTGATTTATTTTATTTATAGAAAAAATCTTTATTAAGTATTCAAAGTAGCATTAAAATGTTAAATGCTCAAAAACAAGCTCATGTGACAGAGATGAGTACAGAGCTTACACAGAACCTAACAGCACAAGAACAACAATCTTTAGAACGACTTAATTCGGATATTGAACTGATGCAAGATAATTTATCAAAATTATTAACATCAAGATCTGAGGTTTAGATTATTATTAATATTATTTATATTCAAAATAATTATTGTAACAAACCCATGTAAACTTATAATCTATATTTATAGCTTGAGGCGAGCAAAAATATTATAGAGAATGAATTGAATGCAAATTTAAAAAGGCGACGTGAAGAACTTGTGATGCAAATAGAAAGTTTAAGCACCGCTGATGATGACCAACTACATTCAATTAAGGAAGGTTTAATGAAATTAATTCGTGAAATGAAGAGACGTTCGCAAGGTGTATTTACACGCATTTACATGCATTTTATTATTATTTATTTATTTATTTATTATTTATTGTTATTTATTGATTTTAATTTGAAAAAAAAGAAATCGAAGAAGAAATACAAAGGCTTAATAAAAAATTCAATTTAAAAAAGACTGAATCGGAAACATTAAAGGTAACGAAAATAAATTTCGTTGAGTTGGATTATATGCTACTCCCTTCATGTATTCTCATCCTCTCATTCATTCCTTTTTTTTTCAATTATTATTGTTATTATTTTGTATATAAAGTCTGAACAAGCAGAACGACAGCAACAATTGGAGAGGCATCAAAAAGATGTTGATAAATTTTTATCAAAAAGAAAATTATTGTTACAAAAAAAAGATGAATGCACAAAAAATATTCGTGAACTTGGTGCATTACCAGAAGAGGCATTCGAGGCTTATGTAAATGAAGAATCTGCTAGTGTGAGTTTCACGTTACATTAATTTTAGGTACAAATACATACAAATACACATATATATTAATTTGTATATTTGTTTTTTTCCTTTCAATTATTAGCTTCTTACTAAATTGCATATGGTAAATGATGGTTTAAAAAAATACAGTCACGTTAACAAAAAAGCTTTTGAACAGTATAATAATTTTACCAAGCAACGTGATACTCTTATGAAAAGAAAAGAAGAATTAGATCAATCAAAAAATGTATACGTTATATATATTTATATACAATGCTTGTTATTATTGAGGAAATCAAAAAATTAATATTGATATATTTTTTTTGGGGGAATTTTAGTCGATAAATGGGTTAATACAGGTTTTAGATCAACGTAAAGATGAAGCGATTGAACGTACGTTCAAACAAGTTGCTAAATACTTTTCTGAAGTATTTGAAAAATTGGTTCCTGCAGGTCGGGGACAATTAATTATGTTAAGAAAGATTGATAGGGTACTCGCTTTTTTATTTATCTTTATTAAAATTTTTAATTTTGTTTGATTCTACAAAATATAATAATAATGATTGATCAATATAGGGAAAAGAGGTAGATGATGTTGACGATGAAAATAATGAAACAAGTAATAGTTCAGTAGATAATTATAGTGGAGTTGCTATTAATGTTTCTTTTAACAGTAAGACTGATGAAGGTCTTCGAATGCAACAATTATCTGGAGGACAAAAATCTTTAGTGGCATTGACTCTTATCTTTGCTATCCAACAATGTGATCCTGCTCCCTTCTATTTGTTTGATGAAATTGATGCTGCACTTGATGCTCAATATCGAACTGCTATTGCATGTAAGGAATTTTTATTAATTTAGTCCTTATTTAATCCTTTTTTTAAAAAATGCAAATTCTCCATTTAATTATGTGAATTATCATTTTAAAGCAATGATTCATGAATTATGTGACAAAGCTCAATTTATCACAACTACTTTTCGTCCAGAAATGTTAGCAAATGCTGATAAATTTTATGGTGTAACTTTTCAAAATAAAGTTTCAAGTGTTAGTGAAATAAGTAAAGATGATGCACTTAAATTTATTACACAGGTAACTTTTTTTCTTTAAAAAAAAGATTCCTTTTGAAAAGAATAAAAATTATTAATCGATTTTTTTAATAATATTATTATTATTAAATAGGAACAACCACGATAAAAAATTTATGCTAACAAAATAAATGAGAATGATAATAGTACCTAAAGATTTTTTTTAATTATATTAATAAATGAACACGCGCATGTATATAAGATTTATGATATAAAGCACAATAATAATTTCATTTATTCAAATCAAACATATATATATATAATAAACCTACCTTTAGAAATCATACTGACGTAACAATTTGTATTATTATCATTATTATTGCTGTTGTTGTTGTTATTGTTGTTACTTTTTAAATTGACCATGCAGAAAACCATTTACTAAAATCTAAACGTAATAAAAATTGATCAAGATGTCTTGGTGGACCATCAAATCCCTCGCCAGTTTTATTAACTTCAGATAAAGTTCGAAACAAAAATGATATTTGTTCACGGAAGTCCTTTTATTTATTTTTTGGTTAATCAATTAAAATGTCAATAATGTAAATCAAGTATAATGAGAAATTATTAATAGAAAAATACTTTCTTACATTTTCTAATTTTATAATCATTTCAATTTTATTATTATTATCATCTTTAATATCGGAATTATTAACAACATTCCATCTTTCTAATATTGTACAAAATTGTTCACAAATCTTTAATGACGATTTTATAGTTTCTGAACATACTTTAAATTCTAGTAAACATCCACGTAATAAATCATTAAGATATGAAGCATGACCCAAACGAATATCTTCAAAATCTCGAAGTGTTTCTTCCATTTCAGAATAGTTTTTATTCTTATTATCTGCTACTGGTTTTTTTGATGCATTTGCATTTGTGTTTATGTTTGTGCTATGATTATTATGTTGTTGATGGTGAGCAGATGAAATCGTTATACGTTGAACTAATTTGTAAAAATTTGAATCTATAATATCCATCTGTAAACATATAAATATATTTAAATTTATTCAATAATAATGATAATAATAATTTTTTAAAATAATAATAAATTCAAACGATATAACCTGCATATGTTCCCATAAACAATCAACAAAAAACATCATCATAGAACGAATTTTCCACGGTAACAGTTTATTATTATCGTTATGATTTTTTTTTTTATATTTTTTGTTGTCACCTTGTTTTGTATTAGCATCTTCTTCTTTAAAATATTTTTCATTAAATGAAAGATGAATCCATGCTCGTTGAAGTTTTAACTGGGTCCGTCTTATTGATATTAAGAATGAAAAGATGTCACCATACTTGCTCAAATCTTCTGATGTAACAAATAAATCTAATGGCCAATCAATATTGTATTCAAGTCTAAGTGAAATTCCAAACACAAAGTCGTCAAATAAATTATTAGGTGATGTTTGTAAAGCATTATTATTATTATTATTATTATTATTATTTTGTTGTTGTTGTTGTTCATTTGAAAATGGTGATGATGATGATGATGATGATGATGATGATGATGATAATGGTAAAAATTTGAAATTAAATTTTTCTAATCTAAAATCATTTTCTGCTAATGTTCCTACCGAAGCTCTAATCAAAAGAGAATTTAATTCTTGCTCTTTGATTGATATGATTCTTGTTGATAATCTTGGGATTGTGATTTTTTCAAACTGTTCAACCAACGATAAAGCAAAATTTCCTTTACCAAGTAAAAAATAATTTCTAAATGTTTCAAGACAATCTATAACCTTTTCACCTGTTAAAACAACTTGCCATAACCATTTTGCAACATTGTGACGAATTGTCAAGATCGTGCTTTCAAATTCACTTTTATGAAATATAGGTTGTGAAGAAAGTTCCATCAAATATTTCAGATGCAATGACCTAATTTCTTGTGGTAAAGCACTATTTGAATTGTATGACGATGATGACAGTGATGATGATTTACCAGAATTTTTTACCGTTGCAATTGCTTTTCCTACAAATAATATTGATTTAGCAATATCAATTGAAATGTGATTCGGAATAAATGACTCATCAAGAACAAATCTTCGATGCCAACTTGATTGAATGAATTGATGATTGTTGTTATCTTTGTCATTGTTGTCTATTTTTTTGTGAGATTTAGTGGTTAAATCTTTGACAAAAAATTCACCATAAGGATCTTGCAAATGTCCGTAAACAATCCAAGATGTGATATGCTGATACATAACCTTATGACAGGTTTGTAACAATATCAGCATAATTGATCTCAATTCAGGAATTCCACTATTACATTTTTCTTTCATTAAATTTAATATTCGACAACCAAAATATTTATTATTGTCTGAGTCTTCTTTTAACTCATTAATCAGCTGATATAAATTTGGTAAAATTATAAAATAATCACCAAATGCTGATACTATTTGAGAAATTGGAACAATTCCACACATGTTAGCTTCTTTGTTTAAAATTCCCATTTCCGATTCAATTATAATTTTTTGAAAATCTTTTAATATATCATTTATAGAATTACATAAAGCCTGTATAAATAATCCTTTTGAATTATTGTTGCTATTGTTACTGTTGTCATTGGACATGACGAGACATTTGTTCCTTTGTTGATCCAAGAAATCTAAGATTTTATGATAATAAAACCCTAATTCGGCAAGTCTTTCCAATGAAGATCTCTCAGCATCATGTAGAAAGGGAAAGTCTGGTGGAATTTTGAAGGTTTCTGGTTGTTCAGAACCTGATGGATATTGAACAAACAAATCACCAGAGTACCCTGATAATGCTAATAGTAATTCGTGAAGCATTTTTTTTTTAAATTATGAAATCTGTACTAGTACTAATACGCGTGACATTGGGCCTTTATATGCAGATCTATAAAATGTATGAAAGATTCGGCTCTTTTAAGTAAAAGATTAAGTTTTCATTTAAAAATGAGTTTATGCCTGTAGCCAAAAAATTGAGGTACTTTAAATTTTATTAATAGAATTTATATATATATATGAAATTATTAATCAACTGCTGTGATAACATTCATTTGTTCCTTATTTCTTATTTATAACCCTCGATATTTGTTGTAGTTTGTACCAAAAAAATATTCCAACTAAAAGTTTCCTAATGTCTTCTAAATTGTTCTCGTTCATCACCATTATTCACCAAAACTTATTCGTACTCCTTCCTTACTCTGGAGTACGACATGAAATATCTAGTCACCACATGATGCATCAATAATAATTATTAATAAATAGTGGCTATGATATGGCTTTTGCTTCAAGATTTCTTGATGCTGGTAAGTGGATCACTGAAGATTGCGACACAGAGGAATATTAACGATTGTAAAGGGTGGAGCTTTTGGTGGGTGAAAGGATACGGCACTTATAACGTTTGATGGAACAAACTCCACTAACTGCTATAACTGTTTCCTGGAATACTCCAAGAGTTAATTCTAATACATCTGTCACAAAAGGTTACGGTCCCAAATATACCGCTAATCCCATCTTAACTGGCCCTGATGACGAACTTTGTACAGTTACCATTAAACAAATTGGTGTACATGTAAATGAATTTTTTTACCATATTTTTATTTTATCAGCGAAATGATAATAATTGTCATTACATTTTTATCTATCTATCTATCATCTAAATTTACTTTAAAGATATATGTGTAATTTCTAACTGGTATCAATCTATTTTCTTGGAACAATTTTTGTAAATTGCTGTCTCAATTCGTTTTATAAAATATAAAATCTTAATTCACAGCCTGGTGCAACAAAATCTATATTATTGTTGTTGTTGTTGTTAAAGGATTTTTTAACTATTTGTAAAATTATAAATGAGGTCTTATTACCTTTAATAAGATAATATAGATTACAATAATTATATTTATAATCTATATATTACTACACTATGGTTACTAGTATTATGCATGACTTAAGAAAAGAACGTCAATTACTTCTGCCACTACTATTTATTATTATTATTATCTATCTACAAGGACTACGAGAAAAATATTTTGGATTAGCAATTTGCACACATGTTGTGCGTGAAAATCAAACTCGCGCAGATTTCAAACTCACGCACAACGCATATGGGATTTGGACTAGGAAAATCAACCTCTCAGCTGATTTTTTTATTTTAAGTTTTTTTACTTAGTATTAATCTATTATACAAGGATTAGATACAATTGGAGGAAAGATTGGATCTTGTTCGCATATTAGAGGAATGAGATATAGGGCTTGGAATACTTTCTTTGTATATTAAAAACATGCGTAACCAATTTTAAAAGGATTGTTACTAAAAATAGATTTTTGCCTGAGTGGTAATCTAATTCCCATATTATTTTACATCTGATCAGTGTATAAAATTCAATGTGCGGAATGTGCGGGTGTAACATCGTACATTAGTAGTTTTCTGCAGATAGTTTCTAAATTTGTAGAAATCTGCATTAGTTACACGCTGAAATTTACACACTAGGGCAGTGTTGTGCAATTGGAACATTGTAACGCTATTGGAATGTTCCAATGTAGATCTTCAATTGATATCATATGGCTCACGTTACATATAATCATCAAATTGCTGCATCATGCGCTGAAATTTCAAAAAATTGTTTTCCCAATTTTTTCAGATTTGTTAAAAACACGGTTTTTGTAAAAATCACAAGATCAGTTAAAAAATTTTTTTTTTTAAAAAACCAATTAAACTAATTCCCAAACTTAAAAACTGTAAAATGCCTTACCCATCCAAATGCAAAAGTCAATTAAAGGATCCAAGAACACAAATTGAAAAAAAGAGTATGTTCTAGAATTAAATTACATAAATATCTTGTAAATAAAATTAATATCATTTTTGTTTTTGAAAGGTGATGATGAATTATTGTTCAATGATGTTATTGTAGATGTTGATGATGAATTGTATATTATTATGAGAAATGAAAATAATGAAAACAATGAAGAAAGTGATTATTATATAAGTGATTATGATTTAACTGACAATTCAGGTAGTGAGGATGAATGGAGCAATATAGATTTGACAAACCACTTGTGAAATCATTTGAAATTACAGAAGAAGCAATTGCTAAACAAAATCTAAATTCATTTGAGGTTCTTAAAGAAGCTTCTA